AGCGTGTAGTATTCGCCATCGAGCCCTTCCTCCGTCAGGCGCATGAAGTCGTTGTAGACCTTCTCGAGCGGTTTGTAGCATTCGTAGCTGGGTGGTAAGTCGGGGAAGGGCTTGTGAGCGAGCGACGCGGCAGGACACACGGTGCAGGGCGGGTCATTGGAGTCTACGGTGAGGGAACCTCCGCGGGGAAGGAGCAGTGCTCCGTCGTCGAGGACGCCAGCCTGCAGAGAGTTCTTGAGTGTTATGTGAGAGGGGTGCCCGAGCCGCTGATGCCAGATTTCTGGTTCCGCACGATAGCAGACTGTTTTCTGATAATATTTGTGTCTTGCTGCTTCGTCGTTTGCCTCCCCTTCAGGTCTTACATCGGCGCCGTCGTCGGTGTCGGCGGCGAACGCATGAATTGACTTTCGTTCCAGAAGCGCATGAGGAATACCAATGATGTCGTCAGTGTCGCTGGCGTCGACTTGGTCTCCGGTAATGAGCAAGCACTGGTTGGGCCAGTCGCGAAATAGTAGGCCCTTCATGGGAATGCGGAAGTAGCTGTACTCGGCCCTGATGACTTCAATCTCCTGTGGACCTTGTTCTGGCGGCGGCGGCTCTTCGGTAGGTGGTAATTCTGCTGCTTCTCCGAGGAGTTCGTAAGTTACTTCTTCTTCTGACTCTTCTTCCATTGGTTCTGGTGTGTCAGGGGCGTACTGGTCCGGAAGAGGGGGTCCGCCCCAGCTGGTGCCGCGTGTTGCCCAGTAAGGATCGATTGCCGCGGTTTCTGCTGAGGGGAGTCCCGGAGCTTCAGGATAAGCGGGGGCACCTTGCCCCCATCCTCCTTCGCTTGTTGAGGTTCCCCAGCCGCCTCCGGTTCCCCAGCCGCCTCCGGTTCCCCAGTCGCCTCCAGTGTTGATGCCAGCATCTGTTGGCGCAGTGGCGTCGCCTCCGGATGCCGAGATAGTGTCCCGATCTTCTGCCGCAGCTTCTTCTGGCGTCAGAACTTTTCCCAGGGGACCAAGTGCAGGGCCTGGACTGCCTGATCGAGTTCCATTTTTCTCGCTTTCTTCAGTGACTGGCTCCGCAGGTGCTGACGTGCCGCTGTCTTCTTCTATTGTTGCAAGCCCAGTCTCAGTTGGGTTGGAGGATGAGGCAGTCGGAACGGTACGCAGTCGCAGAAGGCCATCCGAGGCGGGACGCTCAAGATCCATTTCGGTGGGATGTGACCAAGTTGGTGTCTCTGAAGGAGTCGTCTTCAGGAGCAAGGTGCAGTGAGAGTCGCCGGTGGTGCCATGCGCTGAGAACTGCAGTACGAAGACACCGTAGTCATCAACCGCCTTGCCGATGTAAGTGTTGTATAGAAGAGTTCGAAGGTCTTGTCTTTGCGATTGCTTCGAATGTCGACTCCGCATCGCATGAGCTGCGCCGAAGAGAGTAGGTTGTACCGCAGATCTGGGGCGACGAGCACGTCACCAATGTGAATCGTGAATCTTGTGTCGTCAGCTTCAAGGAATATTTCACCGATGTCGTATGCCTTGAGCGTGCCGTTGTTTGCTACCGTGATCTCGCAGGGTCGGCGCATGGGTTTGGAGTTGCTAATGAACGTTGGCGATCCCACCATGTGCTGTCCGCAGCAGCTGTCCAGGTACCAGGTGTTGATGTTCTCGCGGCTCTGTCGCGCGATGTTGGCGATTTTCGGCGTAACCACACGATCCTTTTCGCCGGTGTATAGCGAGAGAGCGAAGTACCGGTTCGCCGAGATGCTGGGAGGTGATTTCGGCGTCGGTGGTGGCAACTCGTAATCAGGTGGGTACCTTTGCGGGGAATCAATCCAGGAGGAGTTGGTGGGGTTGTTGTTTTGACTGGGTGCAACAAGGTTGATGGGGTCGCTGAGCGCGAATGTTACTCGATCGTAGTACCGAAAGCCTTTGTTGCGGCGAGCCATGCAGCTCATGATTGTCCCTTTGCCCTTATCCTTGGTCGTAATGCGTGCAGGTGTCTGTGAGATGCTTGCGACGGCGGGAGGCGAGACGGTGGTTGTTGCGGCGGAGGAGGTTGAAGCCGTTGAGGATTGAAGGCTCGAAGGGTTATTGCGTCTTTCGTCGGCGGCCTTTCGTTTGTAGCACCGATCGATCATGTGCCCAGGCTTCTTGCAGTTTTTGCAGAAAGTTCCCTTCTTTCCGTGCTGCTCCCCTTCAGTTGCTCCAACGTAGAAGACTAATTTCTCCCGCTTGGTGTTCTTTTCGCTGCACAGGTCGATCTCCTTTTGTTCGGAGAGAAGTGTGGCGCACAGGGCCGATTCGGAGACGGTTGCTCGAGCACGGAGCAACGATTGGCATTGACGCGTCGGGTCCGAGGCCGGAGAGGACCATTGAGACGAACATGTTGTCAGGAACGGATCCGCCACACTTTTTTATGTGATCGCGCAGATTGCAGCACCGATTAATATATGGTCCCACTTTCTCCCCTTGATGCATTTTGACTGATGTGAGCTGGCTGAGAAGGCGACTCATAGTAACTGGATCTGTTGCCATGTATGAGTTGCACAGGTGCTCCCAGGAGGCGTACGCGGGCGCCCACTCTGATTTGTAGGAGCGAATGCCGAGCTGTTCGTCGGGGGAGAGATTTCGGAGAAGAGTGGTGTACGCGAGAAGAGATTCGTGGTAATATTGGTTCTTCTCTTGGATGGTGCCTTCCGCTGAAAACGGTAAGCTCCCGTCGTAGTACATCCAGATTTGCGCAGTTGTCGCGAGGAGCTCGAACTCGAAGCTCCAAGTGTAGAAGTCCTTTCCGTCGAAAGGAACTGATGTTTTCAGCTTTGATGTCAGAACGAATTTTGTCTGCATTGTTGCAATCGTATCTGAATGTGCGCGTTGTTGACTGTCTTGCGCAAGAGCTGAAGCTTGACGATTGTCAAATGTGAATGACCTCTCGGAGTTGACGCGGCGGTCTTCTCCAGGGAGAGGAAGTCCGGCGACGCCACGTGCATAGCTTGAGCCATCAACACTCATTACCTGATGGCTCTCAAGAGCATTGATGCGGGCGACCAGCTGCCAGGCCCTATGATATCAGGAATTTTACCCTGAAATTCCTGATTTTCAGGGTTTTTTTTTTTACCTACCCTGAAAATCCAGTGTTCAGCTTTTCCTAGGGCTGATTTTTCAGCCTTCACATGCCACATGACTCTGAACTTTCAGCAATTTTTTTGAAGTGACACTGATGCCTTTACGTTGTAACGAGTTTGACCCTGAAAGCGAATCCTACTAGGTACGAGTGTACTTGACCGGAAGTACTGGGAAAATCAGATTCCCGCGGTGTCAGCAGGGCCTGTCGTTGACTATCGGACAATTTTGCCCACAGTGATGGCCCCTTAGTTGGCGCGCCTGGTCCGTTCATTGGCCACATTTGCAACATTAAGTGACTTAACCAATTACAAGGTTGCAGCACAGAGATGCTGGCAGGCTGCGCTGCGAGGGATTCTGGCGGTCTAGGTCGTGCTGGCAAGCACTGATGCATCCACACCTCCCAGCCGTGCTACCTGCCATCCAGCCTCACATCTCGTTCTGCTGTTTGCTTCTTTCCTAGTGTTTTTACTACTAGTAAAATAAAGACTACTAGTATCAGCCTTTTTCTGTAGGGAACACTGATGCATCAGACTTTTTTTTTAAGTAACACTGAACTTTCAGGCTTTTTTTTTAGGCGACCCTGACGATCAGGGTCTAGGGGCAGAGGGACCCTGATACCCTTACGTGCCTAAAAGTGAATCTGAGGGCCTGCCAGCTGCTCAACGAGAGCGGCGCTGACGGAGGTCACCGCAGATGGTGCAGTGGGTGTTGCCGGTGGTGGGCCCGAAGAGTCTGCAGTGGCTTTTCCTTCTGGAGCCATAGTGGTGCAGAGACTTTAATGCTGTAATGAGTAATTTATAAGAAGGTTGTTTCAGTAAGAACGAGAACTTGGCAGGCCTTATGATCCACTCTAGCTCTCATACCATGATGTTATAACTTACCGGTAAGGATCGTAGTGGATAGGATAAGGCTGCCAAGTGTAAGCGAGAGAACTGTGAAGTCTCTGTAATGACCTTGTTAATAAATTGAAGGAGAACAAGATGATTGTATGATAGGAGTACAAGGATATGAATAGCATTCCTAGCTAGCCACGTACTCTCCCTTATTAACTGAATTGCATTGCTACAGTAACCCACGACTATTGCCATTCTAGACAATTACCATGTTGCACTTCGCAACTGCCTTGTGCGGTTACTGGGCAGTCAAGGGTCACGACCGTTGACTGTCTTCGACTGTTGACCTTCGGGTGACCTTCCGCGTGCTCTATATGAGCTATTGCGGTACTAGTACAGGCGTTCACTTCGTTATGGAGTGACGCGAGAGTGGAGAACCTTCGGGAATGCTTATAATAACCTTTCGGTTATTCCAACAAAATGTGCGTTCCCCAAAGGCTCCTCGCACAACGTTGAAGTATCAAAACGCACTGCTTGCATGTCACTTTGGCGCGCGAAATATATAATTAGTGTTTTGTCTAATCAGATCTCGCTCGCATGTCTAAATCTTAGCGTTACGAAAAAACACAAAGAAATTGTGACTGCTTGTGATTCCAAGAAACTCCAGCGGGTGCTCGAATTTCGGTAGGGAAGGGCAGGAAAATCGCGCGGAGGGGGCGTGCGCAAACGCTGTCCATCCGGCAGCTAAAATAGTGACCCCCCCCTAATGTGGGTCCACTTGAAAACTCAAACTAACTTTGTAAAGGTTCTGACGGTCGAAGTGTTGTTCTGTTTTGTTTTTCAGACGCGTTCAAGTCTTCACACATTTTTTTACAAAAAAACGTCGCAAGCATGTGTCGCAAGTTGGCGACGTGCAAATCCCAATCACACGAGGGGGCCAATTTCAACAAGTGTTGCATGTTCAATTCACACACAACAAACGCCTTAGACATGTGCCTGCTGGGGCGGCAAAAACAGCATAGGAAAAGCAGAACTGCGGGAAAAAACAGAGAGTTTCGGGTTAGAGATAAAAAGGAATAGGTAGAAGGAAACGAGAGCGCACGGAGAGCGCTGATTGAGCGAAAATTGCGGAATGGTAGGGTGTTGGGAGATGGGAGGGGAGAAACGAAGGGCGACTTGCAGGCATTTCGGGGCGAACGCGAAAGCGCCGAGGTGAGCGATGGGAGGGGAGAGAGGAAAGGCGACGACTGCATCGAGGGCAACGTGAGAGGAGGGGAGAGAGGATAGGAAACGGGAGAGAGCAAGGGCAACGGGAGAGAGAACGGGCAACGGGAGAGAGAAAGGGCAACGGGAGAGAGAACGGGCAACGGGAGAGAGAAAGGGCAACGGGAGAGAGAACGGGCGACGGGAGAGAGAAAGGGCTACGGAGAGAGAGCAAGGGCAACGGAGAGAGAGCAAGGGCGACGGAGAGAGAGCAAGGGCGACGGAGAGAGAGCAAGGGTGACGGAGAGAGAGGAAGGGCGAGGGGAGGGAGTTTCGGGGCGTTGGCGAGGGCGACGAGGGGAGCGACGGGATGGGAGAGAGGAAGGGCGACGGGAGGGAGTTTCGGGGCGTTGGCGAGGGCGACAAGGGGAGCGACGGGATGGGAGAGAGGATGCGCGACGGGAGGGAGTTTCGGGGCGTTGGCGAGGGCGACGAGGGGAGCGACGGGATGGGAGAGAGGATGCGCGACGGGAGGGAGTTTCGGGGCGTTGGCGAGGGCGACGAGGGGAACGACGGGATGGGAGAGAGGATGCGCTACGGGATGGGCGACGGGGTGGATGAACGGGAGGGGCGACGGTATGGGCCACAGAAGGGCGACGACGACGGAACGGAACGGGAGGACGACGGGACGGCAGAATGGGCGGGTGACTGGACGGCCGAACAGGAGGGCTATGGGGAAGGAGAAATGATCGCGTGGGTAAGGGAGGCGAGAGGAGATCACGTGAGCGACGGGACGGACATTCTGATTAATACATGTCGAGATAACGAGGGCAACAGTCCAGACATAGCCTATGCAAAACCTAGCTACTTACCGTATAACTAGCGACGCAAAGTAGTAGTAGTTCACCCCATCCCAACTTGAAACATGAGCTGGGCCCAAATCGCTTGGATAGACTGAAACGATCGCCTATGCAATTGTCGTGCGAAATGAGAAATGCAACGCCACACATCCCCAGAATGTTTTTCTTTTGGCGGGAGCCAATCAAAGGTGTTGGATTTGCACGTCCGCAGCGTTTGAAACGGTACAAACTTGTCAGTCCGGTCCAAAATTTGTTTCGCCCGGCAAACTCGTCCCTGCGCTCTTTCAAGTTGGGTTTGGGTTCACTATTTTGCATTTCGGTTTTAATTAATGGAAACGCCGACGTGGCAAGGTCGCAATAATTTGGGTCGATGCAATTGAGAGAAACGCGATTTTCGCCGATGCGCGTCATTTTGCCCAACTGTAATGAATGTGACACTGCACGTCGTTCAACGTTTCACAAAAATCGCACATGTACCGGTATGTGGAAGTATTTGGCTGCCAATAAGAATTGAGAAGGAACTTTTGATCCCTGTTCATTCAGAACTCGTCTCGAGGTGTTTCAAAAACCCACACACACGACGCTTCAACTTCTCAAAACATTACAAAGAAACTTTGATATTCAAGTGGATCCAACTAGAAGGTGGGGGTCACTACTATGTTAGCTGCTGGCTTTGAAGGAGCCATTATCCACACCTCAGCCTTTGACTTGCACTACAAGTGTACACTCAATGCTCAAACACTACTCTTCTTGCTCACTGTCCCCCCCTTTTCACTACTTGGTCCAGAAATATCCCCTTCCCCTCCCGCGGATGAGAGAGAGAACACGCCGGGCCCGTCAAGGGCCATGAAGACACAGGTGGAGCGCGCGGTGGGCACGGCATGGCTGTGCTTGCCCTCGTACGTGGTGACCACCTCCCTGGGGTCGTCCTCACACCGCTCCACGTGCTTTCTCACTATGCACCCCGGATGCGTGCACTTGTAGTAGCTCCTGCACACCAAACACGTGTGCGTGTGTGTGTGTGTGTGTGTGTGTGTGTGCGTGAGTGCACGCGTGTGTGTGTGCGTGTGCGTGTGTGTGTGGGTGTGTGTGTGTATGTGTGTGTGTGTGCGTGTGCGAGTGTGCGTGTGTGTGTGCGTGTGTGTGTGTGCGTGTGTGTGTATGTAAATGTGTGTGTGTGTGTGTGTGTGTACATGTGTGTGTGTGCGTGTGTGTGGATGCGTGTGTGTGTGTGCATGTGCGTGTGTTTGTGTGTGTGTGTGCGCGCGCGCGCGCACGTGTGAGTGTGCACGTGTGTGTGTGTGTGTGGGCGCGCACGCACGTGAGTGTGCACGTGTGTGTGTGTAGAGAGAGAGAGAGAGAGAGAGAGAGAGAGAGGGAGAGAGAGAGAGAGGGAGAGAGAGAGAGAGAGAGAGAGAGAGAATGCGTGTCACTAAGGGGGGGGGAAGAGGGGTGGGTTATAGGGCTTAAGGAATTAAGGTCATCATGGATAAAACTGCTTGTCTGTACCCCTGCTGAATCAATACAACGGACCGTTTGAGAGAGAGAGGGGGGGGGGGGGGGGAGGGAGAGAGAGGAGCGGGTGACAAAAAACAAGACGAGCCAAGGATGAGCAGCTGCCAAAGAGTGTGTCATGCAAGCAAAAGGAGGGCTGGTCCCACTGGTACCCGGAACTGTATTTCCGCTGCGATCACTCCCTCTTTGACCCTCCGTCCCTGCAGCACAGCCCTGCTGTTGGCGCACCTGGGGAAGCGGCGGCCGTGCACAAGTTTCTGGCCGTACTTGCGCCAGCGGTACCCGTCGTCCAGCAGCTCCACCGTGCTCACAGCGCGCACCACCACCTTGGGCCCGCGCTGCACACGCTGCCCACAAAACGGCTCCGGACGCCTGTGAGGCGCAGGGGGGAGAGGAATCGCTGGTGGGGCCAGTGAGCATAGAAAATGGTGGGACAGCATGCGAGGGGCGGAGACACAGCGCAGCGCATGCAGCGTGAGGTCAACTGGGTACAGCGCCATGCATGGCAAGGGTGTGAGCCTGGCTGCCATCACCTGCTGCTGCACCAACGGCACCTCCTGCCAGACCTGCTCATGCCTACCACAGGGACTGTCTCCCTCCTCACCCGTGCCCATGCTTGTCCCACCTGCCCACTAGTATGCTCCGCCCTCCTCCTTTCTACCACGTACGTTGTCCTGAACTTGTCTGTAGCGTGCCGTGAAAAAGCAGCTGTCAAAACGAAGTGTGCAACAGAACGCAAAGCAGGGCAGCAACTTGGCAATGAAGCAGCTTTCCCTGTCTACTCAGCGGGATGGAAGGCAGGGCGCTTACTTGCCACCCACAGCAGCTTTCTCTGACACCGACTGCTACTTGGCAGTGACTGGGGCGCCCTTTATTACCACTCCCTCTGTGACACATCATCTGCCCCACATTCAAGCACGCGGCTGAGCCACATCCATAGGAGGGCTGCTCCACACGCAGATGAAGCGAGCAGTGAATGGCTATTACACCGTGAGAGATAAGCAGCAGGAAGGGAAGGCAGCAGCGTGGCAGTGCTTGCCTGGCATACCTCTTGCGCTGCTCCTTGCTGGTCGCCTCGCCCTCCGCCCTCCTCCCCACACCTGCGTCGGCCTCGCCACCCTCAAAGCTGCTCCTCGACCGTGATGCATCCTCGCTCTGCCCCACCCTTCCCTCCTTCTCCCACGCACTCGCCTCTTTCCCTATCTCAATCTCCTCTCCTCTCCTCTCCTCCTCGCCTCTGCCCTGCCCCACACCTTCCGCCGCTGCGCCTCTGTCCGCGTAGCCAGCAAAGCCATGAGCGGAGTTCCCCTCCCTTTGCACGCCACTCGCACTGCTCGACTCCCCACCCAAGCCCACGCTGCCAGCGCTGCCAGCGGCAGCAGGCGTGTAGACAGGGGCCGCAGGGGGCAGTGGAGGCGCATGGCTGTGGTGCCCGTGGTACTGGCAGTGTGCGGTGTGGCCATGCACTGCCAGCGCCACGCGCTTCTTGGCAGGGCACCCGTGCACTGTGCATCCGTAGTAGCTGCGCATTCCTCCCCCCCCACGCACCTCCTTCTGCTCGTACTTATGCCAGCTGTACCCGTCCACTGCCCCGCTTGCTGCCGCTGCTCCTGCACCCACCGCCTTTGCCTCTCCTCCCCCATCCGTCCAGCCCTCTTCCATATCCTCTTTTCCAATCGCATCCTCCTCATCCTCCTCTTCCCACCCCGCCCCATCCTCCCCATGCACATGCCCAGCCTCGCCTCTCGCATCCTCCTCCCCATCGACCCTGTTGTGCAGCACCCAGCTGTGCATCTCGCTGCCTGCCACCCCTTGCAGCGCCTGCGCCGAACCCCCGTTGCCTTGCCACCGTGCTACTCTCTGTTGCCGCAAGGCCTCGCCCCTTACCGCTGCTCCAGGGAGCACCTTTTTCTGGGCCTCGCCATGTGCGCCTGCATGCACTGCCACGCTATCACCTGCCACCCCCACTGCAGTGCCCTGCTGCGCGCCGCCATGTCCCCCTTCAATGGCACTGCCGTCAGCAGCAATGTGAGGGGCGGCGGAGCAAGGCAGCATGCAGGTGTGGGGGTGCATGGCAGTGAGGGCCATGTGGTGTGGGCGTGCACCCGCCACCGCCACATCACCCGCCACCACTGCCTCCATCCCCAATGCGTCCCTCGCTCGCCCTGCACCCATCTGCTCCCCCTCCCCCATCCGCGCCCCCCATCCATCCGCATCCCCACCTAGCCCGAGCGCCAAGGCTGCACGCACGCTCTCCCCCTGCCCGCCACCCACTCTACCATCCTCCTGCCCCATCGCCCCGCCCCTCCGCCCTCCTCTGTCACTCCATGACACCGCCCCATCATCCCCGCCCTCCATCCGCTGCCGCTTCCTCCGTCCCCCATGCTCCCCCTCCTCCTCCTCATCCGCCACCGCCATGCGCCCTTTCACCTCCCCACCTCCCCCTGCCTGCGCCCCACCACCCCCTTCCAGCAGGGGCGCTGTGCTGGCGGCGGGCTGGGGATACGAGGGGCGCACAGAGTGATGGTGGGGGATGAGGGATGGGGGATGAGGAATTGGGGAGAGGAGATGAGGGGATGCAAGGGGAAAGGGGAAATGCAGGATTGGTGGAGGCAGGGGGAAGGCAGTGGTAAGGAGCAGGGGGAGGAGGGTGGCGGGAGTGATGTGGGGGACGTGCAGCGCCAGCAACACAGGGCGAGCACGGAGAGCAGAGGCATCGCCAAGAGCCACCGTCACTCATGCATGCACGCTCTCTGCCTTTCTATGCATACACGCTCTATGCCTTACTATGCATGCACGCCCTCTGCCTTACTATGCATGCACAACTCCCACCACCCCCTACCCCATCCCCCCTCCCCCTCTCCCCCGCGCGCCCCTCACCTGGGAGCGCGGCACCACGGGCGAGTCCAGCAGGGCGGCTGGGCTGAGCCCCCCCGCGATGAGGAAGCACACGGGCCCGGACGCGGGTGCGCCCGTCACCAGCCGCGCGGGCACGCTCGCCATGCCGCGCGCGCTGCCCCCTTCCGCGCCTCCCTCGCCGCCATCACCGCCATCCCCCCTCCCAGCAGTAGCGCGAGCCGCCAGTCGCTGGGCGAAGCTCTTTGACCCGCTGGGGGGGCGCCGCTTGGCGCACGCCGCGGGCGGCACTGTGGCAATCCGCGCCGGCGCAGGAGGGCGCGCGAAAGGGTTGGCGGAGGTGACGGCGGCGTCGCCGACTGGCTGCCTGCTGTCCGCCACTTGCGGTACGAACCCCCCCGCATGCTGCAGCTGCATGGTGCCCTCCCCTTGCGCGCCCCATCCCCACGGCATGTGCCCCTCGGAGCCATCTTCGTCGCCCGCTCCCCGTGCCTCGCTCTCCGCCATCGCCTCCCGTTCCCTCTCCGCCGTCGCCCCTCGCTCCCACACATCACCTGCGGCGCACGCCACGTTGTCCGCTGCGCCGTACCGCGCCTCGCCGCCCTTTATATGTGCTCCTCGGCCCACCGACGAGCACGCGGCGAGGGCGGACGCGCCATCCGCGACGCAGGGTTCGGCGGACGCCACTGATGCCGTTTGCGCGGAGGCGCGCGCATTGTCGCCTGCGGATGGCGCATTCGCCGTGGCCTCCGCAAGCAATGCGCGCAGCCGCTCGCGAGACCCGGTGGGGAAGGCGGAGGATGGGAGAGGCGGCAATGCTGGCGGGGCTGGGGAGGGGTCGCCCGCTAGGGTCAGGGGCGCGTTGACCGGTGGCCGCGTGCTCTTCGACGGATGACCTCGATGACAGTCGAAAGACGAAAGGCGGCGAGTGCGGAGATCGGGGCAGGAGGAAAACGAGTGGGCAAAAGTAGATTTAGCAGGGAGAGGGAGAAGAGCGGGAGGGGCGTGTGGTGCGATTGGGATGGCACAGCACAGAGGGTGGTGGTGAAACGACACCTGCGCGGTAGGTTGGTGGGTGTAGTGACAGCATGACGGGTGTGTCACAAGTCGCCCAGTGCAATGGAACGAGATAACGAGGCTTACACTAGGTGTCAAACGAGTATGCAACACTAAGTGGTTCGTGCGAGCTAGCTAGTTGTTATGAGTTGTACAAAAGAAGAGTGCGCAGAATGCAATATCGCGGAAGTGATTACAACGTCGAGCAATTAATGAAGCCTAGGACTAATATAGCAGAGCTAGCTAGGCGACGGTCGCGGGGTCGCGAGATGGTTGGGAGCAGGTTCGGGGTTGGGAAACCCGAAGGCGACGCGATGGTGGTTCGTGTCAGAAACTGAATTGTGATTGCATTGATGTAGGTTGGGGTACATATGCCTAACCCTAACATTTTTACCCCATAAGACAAGCCTCACTACTACAGGCTACAACATTTGACACACCCCCATAGCCTAATGTGAAAGTTAGAACGAGGAATGACTAGAATGAGAATAGTACACGGTTTGTAAAGGCAAAACCTAACAGCGCTGTACCCCATAAGGAGTGCCCCACTACAGCCTAGAGTATAGTTCTGACACACCCCCATTGGCAAAGTGGGGGACAAGCAAGAGAACAATGCAAGGTCAAGCTCAGGGTGGATCACGACGTCACCACACAGTCTGAGCACAAGCAAAGGCCACACGACCAGTTCACATGCAGAGTTATATATCAAGATGAACAAGCAGTACAGCGATCTCAACCTAACAAGTGTAAGCATGCAGGTGCAGGTATATATAGATAACAGTACAAGCAAAGTCAAGAGGTGAGCAAGTGAGGCCAAGTAGGCACTGGACCCAACAGAGTACAGAAACGCTGATGATCACAAGGCTGAAGTGCCTTGGTAAAGATATCAGCAGTGTTGGCCCGAGTGGCCACGTAAGCAAGACGAAGCTGACCACGCTGCTGCAACTCTCGAGCAAGGAAGTAGCGAAGAGCGATGTGCTTCGTTCTGTGCTCCAGTCTGTGCTCCTGACAAAAGGCAATCATGGCCTTGTTGTCGACGTACAGAACTGGAGGAGAACGAGGCGGCTCTCCCAAGTTGGTCAGCACGTAGGTGAGCCAGCGTAACTTCTGTGCAGCCATGGCTATGGCGTAGATCTCAGCCTCACAGCTGGAGCTGAGAACAGAAGACGAGCGGGTAGACCGCCACGAAACAGAGCCGGAACCAAGGCTGAAGGTGTAACCCTGTGACGACCGCTGCGTAGCCAAGTCGTCAACCCAAGAAGCGTCTGCGTGACCAGTGAGGACAACTCTAGCCCGACCTCCAAGCACGAGCCCCATGGCCGACGTACTATACATGTAGCGCAACACCCTCTTAGCTGCATCCATGTGCTCTGGTCGGTGTCTCCCAGGAGCAACATAGCGTGCCAGGATGCTAAGAGGGTATGCCAGGTCAGGTCGAGTGCAGATAAACAGGTACATGAGGCAGCCCACAAGCTCTGGGTACGGGCCACTCGGCTCTACGGACTCATCCGAAGGCAGAGCTGAGAGCAAGTGGCGAGTAGACAGAGGGGTGGCCTGAGGCGAGGAGTACGTGAAGTCGAAACGCTGAAGGACCTGCTGCACCATGTGTGATTGAGTCAGGGTTATGGTGCGCCGTGCTCTGTCCCGAGTGATCTGCAAGCCAAGGTAGCTGCGCAGTTCACCCAGGTCTGTGCACGTGTGTCTCTTCTGCAGCTCGGACTTCACGTGGGCGAGTCCAGCAGTGTCAGCAGTAGCAAAGACCAAGTCGTCGACGTACACGAGGATGTAGAACGGCGGCAAAGAGGTGTCGGTGCGTAGAAACAGCGACGGGTCAGCAGTAGAAGGAGCAAACCCAAGGGCTGCAAGCGTAGTCCTCACTGTGTCGTGCCACTCACGGGGCGCCTGGCGGAGACCGTAGACTGGCCGCCGGAGGCTCCACTGGGTACCAGGACGAAATGACCCAGTGAAGCCAGGTGGGCGGCGCAGCCAGATCTCCTCGTGCAGGCTCCCCTGTAGGAAGGCAGTGCTGAAGTCAAGAGAGTGAAGCTTGTAGTCACGCTGAGCGGCGACGTGCAGCAGCACCCGAAGAGTGGTCATCTTCGGGGTGGGGGAGAAGGTCTGAAATTAGTCAACTCCCTGTCGCTGACTGAAGCCTCGAGCCACGTAACGCACCTTGAAGACAGGTGGAGAACCAGGTGGCCGCTTCACCCTGAAGATCCACATGCCACTGACGATGTTCGCCACAGGTGGGGGAACCTCGTCGATGTAGGTGCTTGTGGACTTCCAGGAAGCCATCTCTGCGTCCATGGCTGTCTGCCACTGAGAGGAGTAGGGACCCTCTATCGCCTCTGCGTAAGAGTGCGGGGTCGGGATGTCTAGTGCATCCGGGTCTCCCTCAGGGGCAAGCAGCATGGACACGAGATGAGGTAAAGCAGCAGCAAAACACTGGAACTCCTCCTGCCTGTCCTCAAGGACGTCCGTGCTAAGAGCACACTCACCCCCGACGGACGGAGGACAGACAGACTCAGACTCAGCAACAAGACTAGCGGCGTAGTCTAGACGACAGTGAGCAGCAAAGTCGACAAGCTCAGTAACTAAGGCAGACGCAGCAGTGGACTCAAAGGAAGGGTCAGTGACAACAGTAGCCAGGAGACGCATGAGAGTAGGACTGGTAGCACAAAGGGAGTCGGACTCCGGGTCAGCAAGAGCAGGAAGAGAGGACTCTGGAGGAGACGGCAAAGGGACACGCAGTGGAGCAGTGGAAGGACGCAGTGCCATCTGGTGCGTGCCTGGGACCGCAGGAGGACGCTGACGCGGATCACGACGACAAGTGCGAGCAGCACGAACAGGCGACGCAGGACGAGACTCAGGCTCACGACGCTCAGCAAGACCTCTAGTAGGACCAGTGTAGGGAGAAGGAGCAGGCAGTGGGGATGCCAGCTGTAACTGTGACTCGGACTGGACAGGCGGTGGACACTCTAAGGAAGGAGCAGGACCAGTAGAAGGCGGGAGACCAAGAACCTGCTCAAGGAGCGTAACGAAGTACGGCCGCGGCCGTGCAGCACCTCCAGAACTAGTAGGAACAGCACCAACTCTCCTAGCGTCAGCTCCAACAGCTCCAGCAGCACCACCAGCTGCTCTAGTAGCGCCAACTCCAGCACCCACAGGAGCACCGGCTCCAGTAGCACCTCTAGCTCCAGCACCTCCAGCAGCTGCAGCTCCAGGAGGACCATCGGAAGACGAAGCAGCTCCAGCTCCAGAACCTCGAACAACACCTACTCCAGCAGCACCGCCCGCTCCAGCACCGCCAGCAGCTCCAGCACCAGTAGCACCACCGGGCCCAGCAGCTCCAGTACCTCCAGTACGAGCACCTCCGGGACCCGTGGCTCCAAAACCCCCAGCAGCCCCAGCAGCAGAACCTCCAGCGCCGGAAGCACCACCAGCTCCAGCAGCACGGCTCGAGCGCTGAGCAAACCACTCGCGCAGCTCCTGCGGGGAGAGTAGCTCCCGCCGGGACGAAGCACCCGAAGGACCTCCAGGCCCAGCACCGCCAGACTCCACACGAGTAGGCCCAACACCCTCAG